GATTTGCATCAGATCAATTATTTTACATATTTGCGGAACAAGGATTCCTGAATTTATACACTATATCCTTGAATCTTGGCGAACGACTCTACGAGATTATAATTTGTGATTTGCAAATCTCTCCATGTCACTCTACGTATTTTACTCACATTTCTGAACCTTTGAACTTTTCAAAGAAATATGTTCAATTATAAATACACCATCGAAGCATAATAACTGACCATTTTGTGAACCCATACGACTGAACTACTTTGACATGACTTTCATCTGTTCTTTATTGCGAAAAATATGTGTTCTGTTCTGATACACATGAGTGTAAATTTTAAAATAGGTTTCTAAAGGTTTACGTTTCGCTTCTATTATTTAAAACCCATTATCAACTTTAAATAACCAAATCGGCCTATGGCGCATTATGTTCTTAAAGATATTGCACAACGCGTGATCTGTATTAATCGGACCTCGAAGCGACGAATATGCTATATACTACGTGCTATACACATGACACAGTACTGTCACATGAAACCATTCTAATTTAATTTTTAAAACCTTTATATACGCACCACGCATTGCGCAATACTTCATGTGTAACACTCTTTCAATCAGGTGACATGCTTAAAGTTTATGAAATTAACATCATTAACTGTATTTACTATGACCGCATTTTAAATATTTCCGTGTGCAAAAATGATATAATATTATCATTAATTTCACAGGAAGCTGAGTAAGTTCTTTATTAGGATAATCATTCTTATTATTCAAATATTCAAATTTTGAAATCAACTTTCCCCCAGAAAGTGTATTGCTAGCCGTGGGTTATTCAGAAATCACCGCTGGATAAAGTAGCGCGGTATCTTAATTATGCATCAGGTAGTGATGCTATTTGCATTTATGTTTCTTTCAGTGTGTGAGGTCACACGCACATGTATATGACAGTGCGTGTGTTACTGTTGATGCATTTAAGTGTCCTACTTATCATATTTAATTAATTATTGTCCTGACCAGTGTTGTTTTAATCAAATTCGTTGTCTAATGAGAACTATTCTGTCCGAAAACGAAAGAGAGAGAGAGAGAGAGAGAGAGAGAGAGAGAGAGAGAGAGAGAGAGAGAGAGAGAGAGAGAGAGAGAGAGAGAGAGAGAGAGAGAGAGAGAGAGAGAGAGAGAGAGAGAGAGAGAGAGAGAGAGAGAGAGAGAGAGAGAGAGAGAGAGAGAGAGAGAGAGAGAGAGAGAG